TTCAACCTAACCCCATCTCCAGCCCCAATACCAGCCCCACTTCACTTCCCAGCTCCATCACCAACACATCTCAAACGCATCCCCCTCCCCTTCCATGCTGTCCAGGCCCATCCCCACCCCCATGCCAATTCAATCTTCTCTCCAGAATCCAAGCCATCCCCCACCCCTTTACCAATGTCAGCACCCTACCTCAACCCCATGCCTATCGCCTGTGAACCTCACTCTGAAACTCAACCTAACCCATTCCCAGCTCCATCCTCTTACCCATCTCCAGTCCATCCTTTTCCCCAACCACAACCCAACACCAACCTCCACCTCCACCTCCACCTCCTCCATCCTTATCTCTCAAACTTCAACCTCTACCAAGACCCCATCTCTATTTCCAGTTCCAGCCCCACCCCCACATCCTGCCTCCTCGCCACCACCAGTGATTTTGTTCAAGCTACTTCATCTTTCGGAGCCAACAGCTTTCTCTGCAGGGTGGGAATAAAACTTCCTACCACGTGGAGAGGTCGTGAGGACTGAACTGGGAAATGTCATCACCCGGTGTAGATATTGTACATGTCCTTATCTCCATACTCCCACCCAAGTAACTCACCATTTATATTCCGATGAGAATAGTTTAGTTCCATTTGGATGTCAAATCACACTTTTTAGAAAGGGGGCCGTGGGGAGCACTTTAATTTGGAAATGAAGGATATTGTCTTCTCTTGCGGTAATTGACCACAACTTTCAGTTGCATCAAGAGAGCATTTTTGGAGAGTGACAGTGACATTTCCGTGTTAGCAAATGTTATGTGTCCAGTCTGTCTGTTAGGTCTCCCCGATTGTTTAACTCTAAGGGATATGGGGTGGAAAACGCCTCACTTTTATGTCATCTAAACTAGGGCGTTTTCCTATAAGAAAATAATTTCCGCCCAGTCTCCCTTTTAATTAAATGGAAAACACTTCCTATACTATGAACATAAAGAAAAAATTACCCTACCCAAGCCCTAGCTAGGTAGCTCAGTTGGTTAGAGCATCGTCCTGATACAACAAGGTTGTGAGTTTTATCCTCAATCAGGGCACATACAAGAATCAACCAATGAATGTATAAATAAGAGGAACAACAAATCAATGTCTCTCTCTCTCTCTTCCTCTCTCTCCATATTCTCTCTCTCTCTCTCTCTCAAAAATTTATAAATAAAAATTACCCAGTACTCCATTCACTACCTGAAAAAACAAAAACTTTTCCTTTTCACAAATCATCTTTAATTCATGTCATTTAAAAATACAGGTAAAATATCCAGAATGACAGAGTTCCTTATCCACTACCTCAGAAACCCCAAATTAAAGACCCAGTACAGTGATGATAATCTGGCTTGATTCTTGAGGGCTCCCTGTGTGCCAGGAAATGGGCCAACCTCAATAACTCTTCTCCTGACAACCAAGGAGTTGGTTCCTGCAATTATGCCCACTTTACAGATGGGGGGAATGAGGCTCAGAGAGATGGAGTGTGTCCCGAGGGTGGGAGGCAGAGGCCAGACATGTGTTCCAGGCAGTTGGCCCCAAAGCCTGTGATTTTAGACACTCCCGTGGCCCACAGAAAGACCAAGACTTGCACTTCCAGTGTCCTCTGCTATGACATTGTCAGGAGCCTCTTATCCTGCTTGTGGGCAGAGATACAGGGGGGCAAAGGAAGTGGGAAAATAATGGGCAAGAGCCACCCAGTTACACAACCAGGGGCACGGGTCTTCACACACCTGCTGTCCAGCCTCCTAACACCTGTACTCCTGCAGGGACCAGCATGGTATTGGGTGTCCTGTTCTACCTGCTGCAGGCCCATGAGTTCCTGCAGGAAGGCATGACCTACAGTCTGGGGCGTAGCTTCTACCTGGCGTGGATTGGCATCTTCTGCTTCCTGGCGATTGGTCTGAGCTGGGATGGGGTTGGGTTTGGACAGGGTTCAGTGATACTGATGGGGGATGGCCCGGGAAAGAGTTGGGGATGAGGATGGGTTTGGGTTTGGGTTAGGAAATGGATTATTGGGGGCAGGGTAGGGGATGGGTTAGGTTTGGGTTTGAAGGTGGAGGGTTGAGGAAAATGCAGGTGAAGGGGTTGGGGACAGGGTAGGGGATGAGATGGAACTGGGGACGGGATTGAATTTGGAAATGGATTCGGACAGTGCAGGGAATGGGGTTGAAGTTGGGTCTAGGGATGGATATGGGTTCAGGGTAGGGGGTATCATTGGGCATGGGGAGAGGACTGGGGTCTAGGTGTGGTTGGTGAACTCTACACCTCACCCCCTCTGCTTTCTTCCTCCCTCAGGTTTCATTTCCTACATGAACTACGTGAATTTCTGGTTCATCCTGGCACCCCAGGCCATCTGGACTTAGGACATGGGAATGGCCCTCCTTCCTTCCTGCTCCCACAGCTCCCTGCCACGGGGCTGACGACCCTGCTCTCTGGCCCTCACACCCACCACGACTCTTGTCCTTTTTCAGTCCCTCTGAGTCTCCACCACTCAAATTACTAATCGGTATTTTTAAATCTGTACTTTTGCCCAGAATATGCTTTTGGCTTAGTTAGTACCTTGTCAGTGTTCTGTGGAACTGTCATACCTCCTGAGGTCATCCCTTGGGCCCTGTGGGGTAGAAGGATGGGACTTAAGGGTAGAAGTGAGGGGAGGGAATCATGACAAAGAGACTTGAGGCAGAAGGCCAGCCAAGAATTAGGCCAACGAGGATATTTTTTCCATTGCTTTTCAGAGAGAGAAAGTGGAAGGGAGGTGGAGGGGAGAGAGAGAGAGAGAGAGAGATTTGTTGTTTCACTTATTTATGCATTCATTGTTTGCTGCTTGTATGTGCCCTGAACAGGGATTGAACCTGCAACCTTTCGGTGTACAGGACAATGCTCCAATCAACTGAGCTACCCGGCCAGGGGTCAAATTTGTTTATTTGTTTTGTTTTTGGTGTGTTTTGGTTTTTTTTTTAACGCAGGCTGATTTGTAACTATGTGCCAGACACCAGATCTATAGCGGTGATCAAATTGGACACAAATCCTTGTCTTTCATCTGGGAGGCAAAATAATAGGACCACAAACGAAGAGTTGGGTGTGTTAGGGGATCCGTGCCATGAAGAGAAACAAAGGAGTGTAAGGGAGACCGGTCTGTTCTCTAAAGAGAAGGGGGGTTGGGGCGGGGGGCCTCTCTGCTAAGGTGACACCTGAGCGGTATCATGGCTCAAGAGAGGAAGAGAGCAAATGGAGTTAGATTGCGGGAAAGAGTTCCAGGCAGAGGGAACAGCAAATGCAAAGGTGCTGGGGTGCAACTCTGTGCTTGGCAGGTCCTAAGAAGGCCCGGGGAATCAGCGTGCCCGTGGGGCCTGGGCAAGGGAGGGGAGGGAGGAGGTGGGCGCAGAGGGGACCGCGGCACCTCACTCCCCGCCTCGTGGCCACAGCAAAACCCTGGCTTCACTGGGCGTGTGGTCCAGTAGGAAACGCCTCCTTTTTCCTAAGAGAGGAGTTCGAGTCTCTTCCTTTCACTTCGGACTACAGACTTCACGAGAGGAATCTCCCAGCCAGAAGGAAGGAAAAAAAGCCAGATGACGAGGGGAACCAGCTAAACAACGTGTGTTCTGCTCACATGTATGTGCGTGTGTGTGCGTGTGTGTGTATATGTATGTGTGTGCATGTGTGGTGTGTGCGCGTGGGTGTGTGTCATAAAGAGTCCGCACCAAACTGTTGACCACGGCGACCTCAGGTGTGTGGGTTGATACAGAAAAGTTTCCTTTTTCATCTTTGAAAAAAAAAATACCTTGGTTGCGGGCACATCCCCAGTAGGGGGTGGTATGCAGGAGCCAGCTGATTGATGTTTCTCTCTCATCGATGTTTCTAACTCTCTATTCCTCTCCCTTCCTCTCTGTAAAAAATCAATAAAATATAAAAAGAAAAAAAAAACCTTTTACCATCATGTCTGTTGAAACACAAGCCTTAGATCGCCAACTTACCATGAAACCCAGCCCCCAGGTCTTTGGCGATCTAAAAACCGGGGAACGAGCCCCAAACCCGGTCCTGCCTCAGCCTCAGAGTCCTGTCCCCAGCTTCCTCCCTCGGACCGGGAGTCCAGGA